GGGCCGAAAATATTACTAGTAAGTTATTTGATTTATGGATAAGGATAACAACAATAAAGGGAAACCAAATGGAAAGCCCACGATTGAGATGGGCCTTTTTAAAGGTTGGGCTATATCAACAGTTTTGTTCTGGCACGAAATTACACAAATGGACATGAGGATTGTTCTACTAAATGAATTTTGGGACAATATTTGTATTTAATTGCAATTTAATTTAAAATAAATGGATGGAAAGAAACTTAATTTTGGTGCAATTGGACGTAAGAAAAAAAACATTTTCAGACACCAATTAAAATAATACATTATTTTTAAATTAAAAAATTAATTATCATCACATGTTTATTTATAAAATATATTATTTGTTTCTCAAATATTTATAAATATCAATTATTATTTGACTATTTATTTGTTATGTCAGAATTAACCATTACTCTTTATATCACATTGTTTTAACATTATATAAAACTTATTAAATTTTATACTAAGTCTTCTTGCTTGGAACAAAAATAAAAAATAAAATATATTTCAGTTAAATTAAATATTATTTTACTACTTCTTTACAACGGTAATTAATTAAAACTTAAAAGTTAAAATCAAAAGACAAAACTATTTATCTGCTAATCCAAATTAAAGTCCAACGATCCTATGAGGCATGTAGCAGTGTTTTCATGTGATACCCTACCTGTCCACCTCGTGGTCCAATCATAGGTTTGAGTCATTCTAAGAATACAAATTATTATTATTATTATTATTATTATTATTATTATTATTATTATTATTATTATCAACGAGTGGTATTCAAACTTAATGCACATCAAATAGGAGTACATGAAGTAGCATAATCAGACTTAACATGAGAACCGTTGGAATAAATATGCATTATTTTGTTAGCAATGTTGTATTTTAACAATAATATATCAGCCATTGATCATATCAATATGCACTTTTATTCATCAAATATATTGGGTCTATTTATCTAAAAATAGTTTAGTCACACAAAAACTGAAACAATAAATTTTGTGAGCCACACAAAAAACTGAAACAATAAATTTACAAATAGAAAATGAAGTTATTATAATTATTTCTCAATCTTCTTCTGCAGTCTGTCAAAAGCATTTCCTGCGTTTTGTAACGGTCCAATTGGTGATGCTGACGTACATCTCCAACTCATTATTATTTTTGGTTCAAACACACAAGTGTATATATACTATTAAAAAAAGTATATACTTGTTCAAAACTTTTAAATAAAATAAGCTTGATTCATTAAGGTTCGAGTATTATAGCAACTCGAATACAGTTGGTTTAGTGAATGAGTCAGATTTGGCTCACTCGATAAGACTCGAAAATAAGAATTTTAATGCTCGAAAATATAATTTTATTTAATTTTCTATATTTCGACTTGTTTAGGCTCGAGCTAAATTTATTAATATTAATAATTTTTGCTCGTTATAAACTTGAGATCAAATTTAATTACCATATGCTCGAATTTGATAAATATAACTATAACAACTTGGTTTACTATGTATAAAAAAAATTGATTTATAATGTATAAAAAATCTTGATTTATCACGGATACAAATTCAATCATAGGATTATCAAGGCAATTATAAAATATTTCAAAATTATTCACAAAAATATTATCAAGAAAAGTTATCTACAAAATTAGAATTTTATGAAAAGGATGGTGAAAATTTCAAACATGTTAATAAATTCAATTTTAACATCCATGAAAATATTTTTACCATGTTTTCAAAATATTTATACAAATATTTTAAAATAATTTATATATAGAAAAGTAAGAATTTTTTTATTGAACAGTAAAAACTATTCATGAATATTTATTTGCACGAATATTGCTAGGTCGATGCAATTTTTTCATGAATAGTGTATATTTTTAATGTGCACGAATTCCTAATCATGTATTCAGTCATGGTCAACTTTATATTGCATTATCTAGAGTTAAAAGTATGAGAGACTTGAAAATTCCGTGTTGCGATAAGAATGGAAAAATTGTAAATAAAACTATTAATGTAGTGTACAAAGAATTTTTTTTAAAATTTGAAATAATATCGACTTTGGTATTTTCTATTTATGCACTTTTATACGACAACATGTGTTTTTTCTATTATTTTATGTTTTATATTTTTTTTTTCAAACAACCCGTGCAGTACACGAGTGGGTGTCGGTGTCGTAGTAGTAACAATTAAGCCCGAATCTACACACGTTGCGATAAGTTGGGTATTCATTAACTGTAATTGAAGCCCACACTAATCTATGGCCTATTTGCCAAAAAATGTGCTTCATATTTTTCCACCTTTAAATCTAAAATCTAAATTCTAAATGACGTTGCAATTTGTGAAAAGAAAAGGCTAAAAGCATTATCTTATTATTTAATACCAAATAAATAGTGATTATAATTTTTTAGGTATGTATTACTATCTGGAGTATAAATTGGGGCTAGTTACATGTTTTGTCATTTCTCAAAAAATAAAATATGTTAAAATATCTTTATAATCAAACTTTAAACTAAAAATTTCCCCTGAAATAGAACACAATGCATTGCAATTTGTGGAAAAGGTGGTACCTTTATGTGATTTGTGAATAAACGAAAGCTTAATTAGAAAATGAAGAAATTTCGTAGAGCATTGTAATTGACGCCGCCAATGTTGGCTTTTTCTACTTTACGACTTTATTGGAAATTAATCTATTTTGGTATGCCATTTTCCCTCTCAATAATATACGATATGGAAATTACATCTATGACCCTACGGGATTAGCTCTTTTATTGTTAAAAGAAAAAGATTAAACAGACCATTGGAATTAATTTGCACTCAGAAAAGTAGCCCGACTCCTATCGGTTCGGGTTGTCTCAAACTCACGGATTTGACCATTGCTATTTGACTATTTTGTTATCTGTCTAACCAGTGAAGGTTTATATAATGAAAAATGAAAATTTAAAAAGTGAGAGAAATTAGATTTTTAGATAGAATTGGGCAAGATATCCGTTTCGCCGGTCCAGTGACTTAAAAAGAATAGTTATTTCATTTTGCTTTTCTGCGTAGATCCAAATTTTATAATTGACAATAAATTTTTTTATTATTATATATTTCGAAAACATATTAATCAATCGTTTATATAACTTTCAACTATCAATACTTAATATTTTGTCTTTTTTTATACCACATTCATTTGAATTATTATATTTCTACCTTATATCTAATTACTTATAAACAATCTCAAATTTGGTAGGTCAATTAGAAAACTAAATACTATTTCGAGAATTAAATTAACTTTTTTTTTTAATCCATGTGAAATTATGAACAATAAAATATTATACAATACCCTGTGCATGTGGTCTTGGATTGCCAAACCTACTTTTCACAATGTCACTCTTTTCGTTTGCTTTATAAGTTTTAAATTGCGTATTTAATTAATTTCCTAAAGATTATCCGCTAAGGTTAACTATTAAGACAAGATCTCGATTTACCCATCACCCGTTTTCCCTACAAAATAAACTGATCAAAGTTGAAACTTGACAGCCATTTGTACCTTGTTACTTTAAGAATATTACTTCAAGTTCAAGGCATTTATGTTTCAATAATCTCGTTTCAAATGCAATATAAGATTCAAACCTTTTATATTTATAATCTACTTAAATGGAAGGACAATATATTTTATATTTCAATGTCGAATTGTACTGAGAGATCTATACGTAGGTTTAGGAGTAAAGTCATTGGTTCACAATTGAATAAAAAGTATGTTATTACAACTGAGTCGTTCGTGAACTCAACATGGTCCATTAGACTTGAAACTCGATGCATCTTGTTTGATAAATGAGTCGAGCTCGAATTTAGCTAACGAGTTTGAGCGTAAGGCTCAAAATATAAATTTTTTACTTATTTTTTTATAGTCCAACTCATTAAATCTTGAATTCAGTTTATTAATAAATGAGTCAAAACTCCAATTCGTTTAGTTATTAGCTCTACGGAATAAAAATTCAAACTCAGAGTTCAACTTTAAATAGCAGCTTGAGTGAGACTTTCTAATTTGATGCGTAAATAAAATATTAATTTTGCTTTCAGAAATAATAATAATAATAATAATAATAATAATAATAATAATAATAATAATAATAATAATAATAATAATTGCCGTAGTTGTTAGCGATTTTTCTTATTGACTTATTTGTTCCCTTAATAATAATTTCAACAAGAACAAATCTTCTCGTGCATGTTAAGAAAAACAATCAAAAAAATCAACACGTAACATTATGTCAGACGCGGAAATTTAATGGCATACATATGCCAATTAAAATAAATAGATAACATTTGTACCCAAAAAAAAATAAAAATAAATAACTAGATAACATAAAAACACAACGGTTAATACACCATCACGATATAATAATACGATTTACAATCCTAACTGTTCATTATATAATTAAAGAAAATTAAGCTGATACAGTAATATGATTAATGGACACTCCTTATTAAATAAACAAATAATAAAGAAATACTCCCTCTATTCTGAATAAGGCGTATAAGGATTTCTCAAATTTTTTGAAATATAAGGCGCACTCTAAAATCAAGGCAAT